AGGTTTACATCCTAGTAAACATGGTAGACTGAATACATTCTATCTTGTTTTATTAGAATGAATATGGAACACAAGCTCTCCTGTGTCTCTTCTGTTAACATGACGGAGAAAACAGGTCATAAAATATGCAAAAGCTCCAACAGTCACACACAAATAAAAGAATGAGCCAGTTATTTGGTTTCCAAGAGTATATTATAATGGTGGAAACTATAGAAGGCTCTTACCTTGGAGCTAGTTAGATCTAAGTGATATAAACTGGCATTGTTGCTTTTTGAGGAAGAGCTGATGAGTACAATGAGTTTCTTTAAAGAATGGTGATGAGTAAGGCTTCTAGAAAAATGGAAATGTAGATTATGGGGAAGTTTCTCTTACAGCGAACTAATGAGCACAAGAATGATTTGTTGCTTTCTCAGACATACAGTATGTATGTATATGCTCTGCACAATGAGTGAATGAATGTTTGTCTTAATTTGAAATGCGGGGCTACAGCATGGTGTGTTGCTTTAGAAAATTAGCAAGTGGAAAGGAGACTAGTTGTTGCTTTTGTGTGGCCAAGTCTACACGTTTTGTTATATATCTGCTAGAAATGCATTGTCTCACTATTCCTCCTTTTTGTTTTTCTGAACCATGGACTATATCTGCAAAGTAATACTTTTTTTTTTTAATTTGACACATCTACTCAGTAGTAGTGGATGTTGGACTTATTTTTGTGGGAGTGGTTAGTGCATGGCTCTGAATGAAAATGAGCAAAGTCCTTTCAGTCAGTAATTTTGAAACTTTTTTTTGAGCTTCTAATAAATCTATAAAATGTGAAAACTGTGTACTTCCCCGTCCCCACCACCTTCTTTTGTGCTGCACCTTACACCTGGATCATCCTTGCTTTCTTCTTTCAAATCCATTAATTCACATGATCTAGTGCCTGGTCAGATCGCCTAAAATGAAATAATAAAAACGAACATACATAACTTTAAATAACTGCAGAGACAACAGGTGATAGCTCCTGAGTGTGTATCTCCTTTCTATTCAGTCTCCCTTTCCCTTTTGTCATCTTTTGTGAAGATTTCTGCCTAGCCGAGGTTCAGGAGCGTCACCAGCTTGCGGCGGAAGGTCCCGCCCTGAAATGCCGCCCCCCCACAGAGGAGGCGAAAGGTCCCGCCGCTGAAATACCACCGCGGTCACCGCCCCCCAAATCGCAGCGCCCTAGGTGACCTGCCTAGTTTATGAACTTCTTGGTGGGAGGATGGTGACACGGGAACATAGAAACTGTCATACTGGATCGGCCCAGTGGCCCATCTTTTTCATGATCCTGTCTCTAGCAGTGGTCAATAACAGATGCTTCAGAAGAATGTCTGTACTGGACAGTTAGGGAATAACCTGTCCCTAGGAAAAGCTTCTTCCTAAGCCTCCTCAGGTAGAGGCTGACTATATAATATAATATATATATTGTAATATACAATATTATAAATATTGTGGCAGCATCTAGAGGTCCCAGTTAGGATCAAAAAGAAGAACAGGAGTACTTGTGGCACCTTAGAGACTAACAACCACAAGTACTCCTGTTCTTCTTTTTGCGGATACAGACTAACACGGCTGTTACTCTGAAACTTGTCAGTTAGGATCAGTGTCACATTGTGCTAGGCAGTGTACACACATGTAAGAGAAGACTGTCCCTGCCACTAACCACTTACAGTTGAAGTCAGTGGTGCGCAAACTTTTCCAGTTGTGCCTTCCTCCATTACTGCACAGCCAAGGCTTCCTCCACTGTGCAGCTTGGGCGGAAGGCAGAGCTGGGGGAGGAATTGGGGCTAGAGGCAGGGAGGGAATGAAGACAGAGCTGGACTGGGGGCAGAGCAAAACTGGGATGGGGGGGCAGAGTGGGATTGGGGGATGGAGCTGGGTCTGGGGGCTGAACAGAGTTGGGGGCGGAGCAGGGTTGGAAGTGTGGTGCTCCCTCCCCACCCTCCGTGGGGGCTGTCCCATGCTCTGCTGCACTCTCCCCCTCAAAAAAAATGTTCCTCTGTGCCCCGCTGGTAGGGCACCACTCCATAGTTTAGGGTAGTTACTGTTGATTTGGAAAGGGTTAACTGCACTTTGAATCAAACATTGTGAAGGTTAATTCACACCTAGTTTCTTTATTGCCAGTATGAGTTATGCTGACCCTCTGACTTCATCCAGGTGCTACTACAAAAGTTCTCCTGTTGATTGGGTAGAACGTAGCACCGTCAAAAGTCCTCTGGTAACCAAAAGCTGACCTAGAGGAAGAGTAGTGTCAGCTTGTCTCTCTTGTAGGCAGGGGTAAGAGTGTGGCAGATCTGCAAGAACAATGGTCAGGGCCATAAAAATGTGAAAAATTGATACAGATGTTCGGCTAAGCGTAGAAGACGACGACTGAACAGTCAGCCATCGCGATCGTTTGCCATTTGGTCTGTTCCTGCACGGCTGCTAGGGCTGAGTCCAACATTGGAACAGACTTCATAGATGTTCAGTGAAATGTTAAAATATGTTCAGACTCTTCAATGACACAAACAGTCTTAATTCATAAGTAGGTTGCCTTTTAGCTAAACACTTGAAATATGTGCTACTTTCTCTGACCAGCATCATCTAATGTACAGTGACATTTAATTGTCTTTAGGCCCTGAGGAATGGGATTGAGTGCAAGACTTCAGTATTGCTTAGTTAATGAAATTCTAGTCTTTGACCTGGAGATGGAGAACATCATAATGTTTTTGTTGTTGTTGTTGTTTTTTGTGTTTTATTTTTTTTAATTTTTCTTTTCAAAGGTTGGCTTTATTTGTGATCCAACTAGGAGCCTTAACATGGTCTCAAGTTAGGATGTGGCTGTTATAACAGGGGACAGGATGCTTGTTGGAATTATTTATGCAAGGTATTGCTACAACACTAATTTAACCATAAATACCTTTATTAAACTCAAAGGCCAAATGGTATTTATGCAATTGCTGTAAACATGCATAAAAAGCCTAAATAATAAGCAATTTACTACATCCAAACAGTAACAAAACACTTATCCGCATTTGATCAAGATCCTTACAAATGGGCGAAACCCAGGGGTGCTTAGACCCATATTGGCTTGTTCCAAAGTGGTCAGTCAGGTATTGGCAATGAACCCTTCTAGAGTTTACTTTTTTTATACCTTTCAACAAACAAGTGATGTCATTGCCAAATACTGACCTCAGCTAAAAACCTACTTGAGACAGTTGACCCTTTTTTCCAGACTTAAACCCAGATAAGATTTGCAACCTCCTTTCCTCACTATCTCTTCTTGATTAACAATTTTTCCTTTGCAACTGGGTTCACATAGGCCCTAATTTTTGAGATAACACTGGTATGTGGGGTAGGTAGGATCATGTTGGCTCATTTTAAGCAGATTTTTTTTTATTTAAAATAATTTGCAGTTACCCCTATTGGTCAGAGGCCTTCTTTTTAGAAACCTCCCTGTATTTCCAGAAAGCTTATACCCAAATAAATCCCTTAGGCTAGGTCTACACTACCCACCTGAATCGGCGGGTAGAAATAGATTTCTCGGGGATCGAATTATTGCGTCTCGTCAGGACGCGACAATCTATCCCCAAATCGACGCTCTTACTCCACCAGTGGAGGTGGGAGTAGGCGCCGTCGATGGGGAGCCGCGGAGGTCGATTTTTGCCGCCGGCCTCACAGCGGGGTAAGTCTGCTCCGATAGGTCGAATTCAGCTACGCTATTCGCATAGCTGAATTTGCGTATATTAAATCGACCCCTCCCCCCCCCCCCCCTAGTGAAGAGCTGCCCTTAGTCTCTAAAGTGCCACCGGACTCCTCATATTTCATTAGTTAATCTTTGAACTAGACCTTCTCCCTGCTTCATTCCTTCTGACCTTGTAACTCATTTTCAAGGCCTTCCTTCTACTTGCTACTCAGGGCCTCTCACTCGCGCACACACGCACACTCTAATTCTTTAATTTCATATTTATCCTACAGTGCTAATGAATGCAATCTAAGGATTCCCTGCCCCTCTTTCCTTGTAGGGAATATTTTGTAGCTGCCAACAAAACAAACGTTAACACTTCTGTACCTACACCATGGAGTACACCCTTGAAATTTTGAGACCCAGGATGTTGATTTTGCTACTGAAATGTGTGAGTAACACGTAGCCTGTGCAAGGTAGCTATACAAAAGCTCAGATACAATGGCATTTATTTATTGTATTTGGACTAAATGGTAGACAACTTTGAGACCTTAGTATTTAACTCGTTACCTAGAGGAGAAACTTATGTTCTTGCATAAGTACGTGAGGCCTGATTGTCCTTTTTCATTTACATCAGGGTAACTCCTTACTTATATCAGTGTTAAAGGAAGGAAAACCAGGCCCATGGCATTTCTAGAATTGATTTTGCAATGTACAAAATCTAGCAAATTATAAACATACCAACACATGTTCTCGCTCTCCAGGTGTAGACATAGCCAATCTGTGTGTATTAGGTTTCATTTACTGAGAGGGAGAAGATGGAATGCTTGTTTTTTAAATGAACAATAATTGGATTACCATGCTTGATTTATTTTTCTGTGCACATTGTGTGGCATCAAACTAATTGACAATCCTTGTGTGCTTGTTTGTGCAAGTGCTACTAGCTTCTTAGATTTGCCTGGGAAGTATGGGGAAAGTGGTCTGACCTATTCCATTTGGGAAATGTAGCTACCTGTAACACTCACCTGTAACACTTTTGTATCCAGTGTTTTGGCCTAGCTGTAGAAAAGAATTTAAAAAATTAGGTATTTGGGGAGGAGGAAAAATGAGGCTGATAGTGTACAGACTGGCAGTAACAGACGTGAGAAACTGTTAAAATCGCATGTGGAGTCCCCAGGCAAACAGGAAGACAGACAATTTGTGGAATGAAGCACAGGCAGTAAGTTACAGCACTTACTGGAGGCTAATTATCCTGAAGGGCTGTGTACCAGAATTGCATAAACAATGTGCAAGACCTGACATAGGCTCTCTAAAAATCAGCTTGTTAAACACCAGGACGAATAAATGCAACTTTGTTTCTAGTGTTTGGAAGCAAGAAAGAAATTGTATATAATGCAGTGATGGATGAGAATTTGGGTGCCTACGAACATGGTATCATTTACAACCTATTAAAAATCAAAGTGGGGGAGAGAATGCAGTTCTTGGGTCAGAAGAGTGTTTAACACAAACCGAAAACTGAGCTAGAATTAAGGGGAGATTTTCAAAAGGTACTGCAGGCAGACAGGTGCCCAGCTCTCATTGAAAATCATCAGTTTGGCACTCAACTTCCTCCCATTCATGCCTTTGAAAAATCTCCCTCCCCCCCAAAAAAGCCCAAGCCAAAACCTAATTCTACAAAGACAAAAGTTCAGTATGAAATACCAGAATCTCTCAATCCAGGTATTTGGCAAAATACAATTATTTCTTTCTGCTCCTGAATCGCCGGCTTTTAGGGTGAGCCAGGTTACTATTGTTGACAGAAGTCCGTTTACTAAGGTGGATCCAAACCAAAGGCACCAAATTGTGCAACTAGCTCTCAAGAATTGTCTCCTGCAGCAGTCTGTAATTTTTATTAGCTTTTGTAAACTGCTGAAAGCAATGATAACCTATTAACGTGATGAAATGTCCTATACCTTAACTATCTTCTCCAGAAGTCACAGATGGAACTAGAGCAGGGGTTCTCGCAACAAAATTTTTGATGGCCTCCGAATGTAGCCATCAACTCTTGCTGGTGGCCGCTCTGACACTGAGAAGTGGGCCCCCACTGCCCCAGTAAAGTGGGGTCAGGAACTCACTGGCTGCCTGTGGAGTCCCAGGTGCCCTGTGCCACAGCCAAGCAGGAGCAGGGGAGCTGAACACTAGTGCCACACATACACACTGGCCCCATGTTTCGCCAAAGGCGCTGCCCAAAGCCAGCTAGGAGGCTACGTGGGGCAGGGCGCAGATTCCTGCCGGCCACACCAGTGCAAACACCAAGGCAGTGTATCCAAGAGCAGCACCTGAGTGATTCAGGGAGGGGCCACAGCTTTGCCTCCCCTCCCCCCAATCTCCGCCATCCTTTGAAGGCTGTCATGGCCGCAGTAAACTCTGCTGCTGGCTGCATGCGGTCACAGTGGTTGCATTTGAGAAATGCTGAGCCAGAGTGATGCAGGAGGCCTGCTGCTTGTTGTGCTTTTCATCAATTTTATGGTCCAGCTTCTTGGCCACTAAATGATTTGGCAGGAGTTGTCTCATTACTTATCCTCTCCACCCTTAGCAGTTGGCATTGTAAACCCCCCATGAGGAGCACCCTCCCTTCTCAGGCGCTAAATCGCTGACCAATTTAGTAGTAGTTGCAGCAACAGCAGCCTGTCTGGTAGTTCTCCAGATTAGGGCCAGTTTTAAAGCACAAAATGTCATTCTGACAAAGTTCTGGATGTACATGGCCTTCAGTCATCAGCAGAACTGCTTGGCCTGTGATTCTAGTCTAATTCAAGACCCTCTCCTCCTTCACACTGAAGTACACAGATACACTGTGTGTGTTCTTTGCTATGCATACAGTACCCTTTCAACATCTGCATGCTGCTAATGACAAAACTTGTTTGGTGTATGTCAGCTATAGAAATCTGTCAAAGTGAACTTTTTTTCTCATCTTTAAGCAAAGCCCAGAAAGATGAACCCAGGAAATCTGCTCAAACTCCTTCCAGTTTTGCTAATCTTGGTGGGTGGTGGCGAGTAGTAGTGTGGGGTGGTTGGTAATCGGAAATCTGAATTCAGTGGGACTCCCCACCCTTTCCTTTGCTGCAGTGACAAACATATGACTTGCTTTCTTCGGTTTGAACGCAAGTAGGAAGATCTATTGAAACTAGAAATGCTGATTCATATAACTTCTAATGTAATCTTTTCAGCTATCGCTCATCTCTCAACAGTTATATTTAAACGAGCTTCCTGCAGCAATGCTTGTCATTTTGGGATGATAAAAATAAAAGCTCTGAGCCATTTTTTGGCATACTTTGTGATATCTTCCCAACACAGTACAGCACAAGATTTGTTAAGCAGAAACTGAATTTGTCTTTTCAAAGACACTTAAGTTTCTAAAAGGAGAGCTTAGTGTTGAAGGGAGAATTGAGTGGCTTTTAACACTGTGTGTTTTGAGTTCTGTTTACATATGTTACTATTCATAGTAATTTTCTCTTTACCTTTACCCTTCAGTATCTTTGCTTGCTAAAAATGAAGTTTCATTTTTCTTTTTCACAATTAAACATTTTTTGAATTAAATATACATTACATTAAATATAATGTTAATATCACATTGTTTAAAATAACAACAATCCCAAGAAATGCAAAGCTAAGGTTCCAACAGCAATGTTAAATTGTCTGCATTGCATGTGCGTAATATTGTCTATTCCTGACAAAGTCAGTGCAAGAGTTATGCATAAGCTTAAGTGTTTGCTGGAGAGGAACCTTATTTTTTCCCCCCCTTAAATCAAGCAAAGGCAATAACCCTCAGTGGAAACTATGTATGCAACAAG